CTTCTCTTTCATTAGTCACGGAGTCTATTATAAACTACTCCCAACGAATTATAATGTGGTGGTACATAAAAAGAAACACACACAGCTACCAGTATGCAAATTTATTTCGAGAGTCACTCACAAAAGGTATAAAATATGCTTTCAGAGAGAGCAGAGCAACTTTGTTGGTTAACGGTCAAATGGCGCACTGGAAAGAGTGCAGGAAATTGCACCAATGATGATACATAGAAGAATAACATTGTTGTTTTGGATGCTCAATTATATCGACAGCGTGTCCTTGGTGGATGCACCTCCTAATTATTGTGCTTACGGAATTACTACGCCACTCTTCTACCATTATAGGCGCAACTTCTTGTGCACTTTTTTTTTTTTTTAAATCTGGTGACAAACGGCAAACCTTTAACAATAAATCCTGAGAGCCTATTGCCCCTTCATAAATTTTGGAGTACATTACCTTTCTCCACTTGGTGATTCAGACATCCCATTAGAGTTACAGAAAGCATTAAGGCATGTACCACACATTAGAGGGGAAACAGTGTACCACAAATGTTAAAGCAAAAGCATGACATTTTATTATAAAGAGTGTGAGGCAGTGTCGGTTATCCGAGTACCAATCTTCAGTAAAGCCTTTAAGCTTCTTACAGAAGAATGATTTGTGCACTCCTTAATTTAAAATTGGCAAGTTTTGATATTTGCTTGCAGACTTGCAGCCTACAGTAAAAAGAAGTGTTAGTATAAACAAGTCCTGTGTCTTTCATTAGTAATAAAAAGTTTATTTAAAATGTATTAAAAATTACTGAAAAATAATTAACAGTGAAATTTTAAGCCTTATATTGTTCCCATTCAAGCAAGGGGATTCCACTCAAAACTCATCCCAAAAAGAACAGAAGAATGATAAATACTCAAGATAACTTACCATGCTCAGGTGTCCTGTTAATTTTGCAGTAAATGGCATGTTATGCATGTATGATATCAAAATGTGGTTAAAAACAGTTTCCCAAGATCAGTGTTATTATGCTCTTGGCATAACAAACAAATCTTACCACAATCGCTTTATGAACAATGGGTTAGAATCATAATCCCCAAGTTTGTCAATGGGTTTTCAAGAGTTTCGCAGGTACTCCACCAGCTGGTGTTTAAGACAAAGAAACTGGCATTCCTACCAGAAGCTATGTGCCGTAAAATATTGAGAAAGCGCTCATCAAATGGTTGGAGATAATTGTAAAAAATATGGGATGGGCACTTTGCAGGTTCCAGCGCTGAAAGTCAGAACAGTGCAGGAGCAGTGTTGTAGTCTGGTGGGACCCCTATTTTCTTAAAGCAGTTGCACCGCTTGCATCCAGCCAGCTTTGTGCTGGTACTCTCATGTGAAGCTTCATTGCTTCTTACCGGAGTGAGCATGGAAAGCTTCACCGCTCTGCACCAGCGCACTGGGAAATGTGGTTGATGCGGAGGAGCACCTTGTTTCATTCAATACATTCAGAAGTTTACTGGCCTGGGTGCTTGATATGTTCTTAATCGCTTTTTAAATTTTCAAAAGTGGGGTGGACACCTATTGCGATATGAGCACATGCTCATCATTTTATGGCACATGGAATGGCAGAGATAAAAAAGTAAGGCAAATATTTTGCCTATCACAATGGCGGGTAGTAGAAATGCATCGAAATGATGTGTTATGCGTCACGGAAAGTTAAAAACATGAATGGTTAGTAGTGACTACTGCTGCATTAGAAGGAAGAAGGAAGTGCAGAAAGGAAGGCAAAGAAGTTAACTTGGGGCATTTTATGCTGCATCAGGTAAGTTATAGTAAAGTTTATAAAACACAACATTTTAGAGACAACATGCCTCCTATAATTTATACAATTTTCGTCATGGCAACATACCCCCCCCCATACACATCCCACACATTTAAAACGCTATTGCATGCCATTATAAATAGGGTGCTATGGCAACTATTTAGGCATCTCTCTTGACTTGTAACATAGCAGACATTGTAACATATCACGGCACAGACAAGACCGTGAATTTCAAACATTACTAAATCTTAGGCGCAGGAAGACCGAAAGGAGAAGACACAAAAAAAAGAGTGACAACACTGAACGGGATGGTGTGTGTGTTGTCCCTCTTTTTTTTTTATCTCCTCTCTGTCCCCTTGCATCTTAGGTTTACTGATGCTATGACATGTTCCAATCAATATATCAAGACTTAATCATTTCTAAATTGAGAAATATAACATGCAAAGCATACTGCAAGATCATAGGCGTGCACAGGGTCCTCCTATAGGGGGGGCCAAATTCACTGCAGCGCCCCCCCCCCCTCACCCCCGTCTCACCGAGACCCTTACGCCGTAGGGGTAAGGCTCTGGGGGTAAGGTGTTCTAGTGTACCCTAGTAGGAGTGCACTAGAACACCATATTTTAACCGCGAAATATGACTTCCAAGTTTACTTCAGTGTCACTATAAAACTACCTTTCAGTTTACTTTCCCGCAGATTACTTGGAAGTCTAATTATTGCGGTTTACGAATGGGGCCCGGAGAATGATAAGGCTTGAAATATGTTTGAACCTAAAAATTAAATCTGAGCTGTGACACCGAACATGACGTAATGCCACAAAACGTCATACTTGCCACTGTTACGTGTCATCATATCCATATCCTCGTAGACCGCAGTAATTGGATTTGCGAGTGCTCTGCGTGAAAGTGGACTTACATGCGCTTTGAAGTGTGGGAGAAATAAGAAGATGAGATAACTTTTCTAACAACAAAAACGATTTATTGCCAAACAAAAGTGGAGACCCCCACGATAAAGAAACCACAGCTTGCACTCGTAGGGCACAAGCGCCATCACAAAACACAGAAAGAAAATGAATCACACGAGGGCTCAGACGATACACAATTTCAGTTCACAAACGGTACTCTAAAAAAAAATTTAAAACAACACAACAACAGGGCTGGTGCAAATGAAAACAGTAACACACAGTAAAATTACTACACTATACAAAAGTACTATTCAAGCTGAGCTGTGCAAAAATACTATCGGTGTGAGAGGCGAACCTTAGTTCGGACGGAATCGGCTGTAAAGCACCCTCTTCCGCCGGCTGTCAACCAATTAAGGATAAAGTAGAATTATGCGACATTGTAGGTTAATGCGAGAGCATATCCTGCGAAATTAAAACACATTCATAACAAAAGTTTGCGCGTTTTAGTCGTAAAATGCTTTAAGATATTATCAAAACTGATGGATGTTGCTAGGTCCTGCTCCACAAAGGGCAGCATCAGCCAACGAAGCCGTTCCTGCGACATCATGGATCTTAACTTGGTCTTTACATGTGCGAGCTTCGAAAATGTCCTTTCGCACGAGCAACTGGTTACAGGAATCGTGGAAAAAAGTTGAAGAGCGCGAGAAAAGTCCTTGAATACTGACTTGTCCAACCCATTTTCTTTAAGTGAATCCAGCCAGTCATAGGCGGTCATGCTGTTTGTTTTTTCGTCGCTGGTTCGGGACTTCAGGAGTTGCATATCAGCACCCAAGCTGTCGGGATCTACCTCAAAAAGCTACAAATAAGAGATATTTGTTCGTTCGCTCACAGAGAGGCCCAAAAGGTTCTGGAGAGCACACACAAGCTCAAAAGTTTCTTGTGTGAACCTTTCCTCAATCCCTCGAACACAGGAGTCAAGCATCGGAAAGAAAACACAGACACGAAATTCCTCCTCTTTTGTCGCATAGAAACATTCATTCGCCCAGTTTTGGTCAAATCGCTTCGATACCTTTCTTCTTCGAACTTCGGGAATCTCGATTTCATTCATCTCGCAGATCGAAGAAGCTTCCGCAAACATCTTTTTAAAGACTGTCCCATCTTGCCTCATCTCTCGCAGCGCTTTTTGCAGATGCCTGACTTCATTGAGTGCAGTGGTAAGGTTAATTTTAGGGTCCTGAAGAGCTCGGCTAACCTTCAAAATAAGCTGTAGAATAGGGTGAGCTATTTCCATGCTGCAGACAAAGTCAAAGCTCATCACCTGGGAAAGGAGTCCATTGCCTTTTGCTTTCGTCTCCGGGTGCTTTGTGGAGTCCACAATCGTTCTTACTGCACTCGACAGTTCGCTGTAGCTCTCACAGCGAACTGGCCTTTACTGCTTCAGCACGACATGCCCATCTGGTTGTAGACAAAGACTTCAAAGTTTTCAGCTGTGTGCCGACAGTTTGGAAAATTCGCTCAAAAACAGCATGGCGCACAACACTGTTTTTAATAAAGTTGTACGCAAGTTGCACAACGCCAAAGAAATCAAACATCATTCTGTTTTCTGCTCAAGACAAGCATGCATCGACAAGCACCAGGTTTAAGCTGTGGGCATAGCAGTGAACGTAGACGAGCTTGTTGTTCTGCTCTTTGCACTTTGCTTGAACGCCAGCAACGTGCCCTGACATAGTACAAGCCCCGTCAAAGCAGACGGAACTCACAGAATTCCAGGAAACATTGATGGTGTTGAGAACTGCTTGCAATGTGGAAAACACAGAGTCGCTGTCTAAATTTTTAAGCCTGTCGAGAGTAAGGAAGACCTCCACAGGCCTGTTCTTAATTTCGCAGAAGTACCTAATAACAACAGAGAGTTGTTCATGATGACTGCAGTCACTTGTTTCGTCGCACATGAGCGAGACTGTTTTACCTTCTATGTGGAGGACAATCGAAGAAAAAATAACTGCATGCAGTGACTCTAGGATGTCATTTTGTATTCTGTTGCTGATGTAGGAGGCGTTCTTTGGGCCTGACTCTAAGTGGCCCCGCAAAACGGGGTCATACTTCTTTAAGATATTAACTATCTCTAAATATAGACCTTGCTCTGCGCTTTCCTTATTTTCACTGTGCCCTCTGAATGGCCTTCCTCCCTTTGAGAGAAGAACAACGATGTCAGTAAGGCGCTTTAGCACCTCACGATTTTGTTTTCGTTTTTCTTCAACTTGAGACGCTCGTCGTTCAAAGCTTTCATCCAGCATTGAAGCAATCAATCTGTTTGCTTTGGAGCAATTCCATGACACAACACTGTTAAGATGGCCCTCAGACCTTTCGCTTTCTTCCAAGTTCGAAACCCAGTTGAAACAAAGGATGGGTCTAAATGTGCTTTGGTACCACTGCCCGGCGGAAACGCCCGACAACAAAAGCAAAAGGCTGCATCTTTTGCTGGACTGTATTCAAGCCAGCTGAACTTTGCAAACCAGTGTTCACAAAAGCTGCGCTTTCGATTATTCGTTTCTGTTTGGGCATAGCTGCCCAGATGACGCTGAAAAGGACCCCGTGCTTGCCTGGCTTGCTTGTCCAGGTCGTTAGTCGGCATTGGCAACGACGGGTCGTCGTCAGACATTTGGTTCTGGTTGGTGGAAAGCGTTGAGCAAAATCTCGGAGGCTCATCTGGTGCATCAGCGATGTGGCTTGGCGTCGTGGCACAGCTTGGCGTTGGCACACAATTTGGCGTTGTGGCACAGCATGGTGAAGTGGCGCAGTCGTCAGCTTGCTGGTGGCTGGACATCTTTTCCGGTTCATTTTGTTCATGCTGCTCTTTGCAGCTTGTTGACTGTGCTGCAAACAAATAAGAGAAGTATAACTTTTTAGTTTTCTTTTTACCTGTTAACATGGCTCTTAGAACACGCTCGAAAAGAAGTCTGAGTAAACAATTACAGAACCAACTGCGCCAATAATAAATATATCTTTTTGGAAATTTTACGACAGCTTTCTCATGGACAGCTCAGCATGGTCTCTCCAAGCTAACATCAGCAACCGCTGCTCGGAGGCGAGCCAAACACGGCCTGCTGATTGTGTTTTCTACGTTTTAACGTAAACAACCTTTTTGAAAAACCTAGGTTGCTAAAAAGCTAGTTTTTTTTTTTTTTTATGTCGGTGATGTTAGTCGCGCTAGAGTTACTAGTCTGGCCGAGGAGCACTACCTTCTTTGTTCATCGCGACAGAAGTTCGCGCCCTTCTCGTATAGTTAATAATTTCTAGAGAGATAATCCTGCACAGAGCGTATACACGACTCAAACATTTTAAGACAGCGTTTTATTAATGGTGAGCACTGGCGCTGGGCACGGAAATGCCCAGAGTTGCTGAGTACGTCAGTGAAGACAGACGGGGCTCTAATAGAAACGTTGCTAAGTTCGTTAGACACATTTTCCTTTGTGAGGACTTAAACATTCGTGAGTGGGTGCGTCTCTCACTCTCACTGTTGCCTTCGTTCATGAGGCACTTCATTCGCCTCAACAAGATCAGTCATTTTGCTCAACGGGGTCCTGTTGAGGTGCCACGCTATCGTCTACGAACAGACTTCATAGAATGATACCGACACGTGCTGCTATATAGAGACTTTTAATGAAAAGGATATGAATAATTTAACCAACTAAACTGAGATCTGGAATGAATGAATTCAACAACGAAGAAAAATACTACAAGGTCAGTTTACTCGTTTTTTTCTTGGAAGGATCACATTATGTGAATGAAACGGCCTCTAGGAAGCCTTCATACAAGCACTGAACGTCCCTGAATTGACTCATCCAATCACCAAACCAGTACCGATGTGCACGGTGGACCCCTTCTTTCGTTTCTAATAAATTGCACTGTTCTCTCTTTCTATACCGCTCCGGCAATTTATGGGGTTCTAAAATAGCGGTGTCGTTTGCAGTGGCGGATCCAAGGGGGGGGCGGTGGGGGTGATCGCTCTCCCAAACGCCTCGCCAGGCACCCCCCCCCCCCCCCCTCCCCCTGGGGTTCTTCGTCAGCTCGAAGAAAAAACGTAAGCAATCGACGCAGGATACAGCTTGTACAACCAGGTGACCAATTGCTTTTCTTCTCAACTGAGAGAGGAAGCAAATGCTCTGGGTAGTGTAGTCTGGGTCTGAGCTTCTCCTGAAGACGCTCCGGACTTCCCCACGACCTTGGCTTAAACATAAGCCCGCTTTCGTCCTCGCCTCCATCCCTCACTGAGGATCAGATCAGCGCCGCAGCGCGGAATACAGAAAGAAGCCGACGAGTGCCAGAAGGGGGAGATGTTTCCTCTAATGGGCTTCATACTGCCTGCGGTACGACTTCTCGTGGCGGGAAGCTAATAAAAGAAAGATAAACGGTACGAGCACTCTAAAGGCTGGAGGCTGCTTACGCTAGGGAGCCTTCATGTGCGCTCATGAAGGCACCCTAGCTTACACGGGGTCCTCAAGCCGACGCCGTAGGCATTTATTTGTATACAATGCCGTTTCAACTTAGGGTGGCGGGACATATTTTAGGAAAGGCGCCCGCTACCCCTTGTCTCCCCTTGGCGCCGTCTTTACTTTTCAAGTTAAACGCGGCTCCTGTGGATTGACGGCAGAGCTTTCGCCCGGCTTTGCAGGAGCGAATATGTGTGTGTCTAATGGAACAGAGGCGGGGCTTGCTGGTTTCCGACTGCGGCTTCGAATTCCCTACCTAAGGGACTTGGGGAAAACGAGCCTTTTCAAAGATCCGACTATACATAAATTAAATAGAGAGTGCCTGTGCCCCTTCGAGTGAACACCGACTCCCAAACATCCATGCTGCAGTCGTGATCGGCCTTTAGCCCAGTTGAGATTCGCCGACCGGACAACCGCTCTGCCCCATCATATCTCTGCACCTGTCCTCTCGATCCTGACGAATGAGCTAACTAACCAGAAACAAGTGTTCTTTTCACACAGAAAATATCCAGACGAATTGCAATTGAATATAATTTGGAAGGATCCATTGCTGGTTTAAGGTCTTATCTAAGTTTAAAAGTTATAGTTGCAGAACTGCAACATGCTTTCATAAATATTCAACAATTATTCTCTTTCGTTCTCTCGAGTTGCATCCAGAACACGTGAAAACACGAGTTTGGGTTGGCAATGCCGCATGTGCTGCGCTCTAGACATTCCAAATACACGGCGAACAACCGACGAACTTGCCTGACAGCTTTCGTTTCGCTCGCTGCGTCAACAGTGTTTTGACGCCGCGAGCAGCGTCGAAGCCGCCGGGCCATTTTTGTCGCTTGTTTGCAACGTACTCGCTCCATTGATTTAAGCCGCTCTTCCCGTTGCCGCAGCAGTTAAGCACTAGCTCCAACCAGAATGTCTGCCAAGGCAATGTCTTTAAGCTTCCCTAAATCGACTGCTCACGTAGTGTCGGTCTGAAACCCAAGTTCCAGAAAGGATAGTGCCACCACAATTTTCGAGATACTTGCCTCTAGCGTGGTCACCCGAAAGGTTTTAATTCAAAAAGTTCATCCCCGACAGGTAAACCGATACAAAAGCTCTCAAGATCTATATTATGTTAACAGAGTTTAGTAAAAACGATAACTCTACAAAAAATATAAACACTCCCTCCCCGCCGTTTTACATCGAGGAACCGCCCCCCCTGAAATGGAGGTCTGGATCCGCCCCTGGTCGTTTGCATTTGCACCGACAGGACCTTCTTTCTAACATTTGTCACACATTCAGTTTTAATATCCAGCCACTAAACTACCAGTATATACCATGGAAAAGTTCAAAATATTTTCACAATTTGGACACTCAAAAAAACTTCAAATTAATTAATTAGATAGCATGAATGATGTGAAATGACAGAAATCTGATATTCGTCCACCCGAGTAAGTTACCAAGCTTTCACCTAATTACGAAAGATAAAGGCAATGTCACTGATGGGTCCGGCTACCAGAGGGCCAGTACTTCTGAGGACTTTCCTGCGAGCTTGGATGCAAGCAAGTCAGTCGTTCAGCTCGATCACTAGGTAGATAGACTTACCTACCTATCTCAACAAGCTGAAAGCCAACCTGAAGGTTCCTGCTCCATGGAATTGCAAGCTGCCTGCCTCAAATGTTTCAGCCATTGGCTCCATTCAACCACCTGCTCCGGAAAAATGTGAAATAGAGGTGTGTATTAAAGGAAGACGACGGCTTTAACAAGGCAAAGCAGACACTGGTGCGTCAGGCTCCTGGTGTATCGCAACCACACTGAGGAACTGATCCTGAATGTGCCACACCTCCAGAGGCAGTTGGACCAGTGTCGTCACACAACATCCACGGAGTCAAAAGGCCCATAGGAGGTTAACCTTCTTCCAAGAATTCCATGACACATGCATGGGTATCAACGCAATTAGGTAAGGCAATGGTTGATGCCGTACAACCTTGAACAATGTGCCAACAGGCTGCATTAATGCCACCAGAAGCAGAGCCACAAGCTTGGCCAGAACCCACGGCTCCATGGACAAGAATTTACATGGACTGCACTGCACCTATCGAAGGTAAAACGGTGTTAATTGTGGTAAACAGTTACCAAGATTGAAAGAAACCACTGGCATCAGCAGCCAGCCAACTCCACTGCAACAGTCGAATATCTGAGGAACACGGTCGCCTGGTTAGGACTTCCTGTTTGCTTGGTGTCCAATAATGGAACACCACTCCCCGGCACGCTGTTTACCGACTTCATTACTCAGAATGGAATTGGCCACCTAAGGACTGCACCTAACTATCCACAGTCAAACAGACTTCCCGAGAGAGCTGTCAGAACGATCAAGGACAGTCTAAAGAAACTCTCGGGTGGTTCTTTGGCCGCATACTTGCCAAGATGGCTCCTTGTGTACCCTCGCACACCGCATACCACAGGAGGACAATCTCCAACAGAGCTCGTGTTCAACTTTTGTCCTAGAGTTTGCTGCATGGACCTCATCACTGAGACCCAGGAGCCAAAGGTAGACCTGGAAAGACCTAGCAAGCTTAAAGAAAGCAGCCCTGTTTTTGAAAGAAACATGGGAGCTGTAGAACAATGGGGACCAAGATCATCTTCCAGGCTGTCGAAAACTGCATGACTTTGGTAAAATCCACCATGGCACAATGAAGCACCACCTGGGCCAGTTGTGCCCCAGACGCTTTAACTCAACTCATTTTTAGTCAGATGATGAAATTACCACTGGGCACTAACTTGATTGGCAGTTAACAAGTGAAAAAACCAGGCTATGGACCAGGAACTGAGCAGGCATTTTAAGCAGTGCAAGGATGCCCCACTCAGGCACGGGGGACACCAACCAAGATGAACATTTAGCTTGTGCGGCAAAGTGTTGGATCATGCCACCACCAGGGGTCAGTGTTTCTGGGGGCTTCCCTGTGCAACGGCCATGGGCTTTCTCTCTTTTCCCACACTTTCCAGTGACCATGTAACAAACATGTATAACACGGCCATGTCAATTATTCCCTAATAAACAAATAGGTATGATCCTTGCACTCCATGGATGAAGCAGCCACCAACAATTTCAACATTGGTCTGTATGGAGTCAAAAAACAAGGAAATAAAGGAACTTCTGACACACAACTATTCTTGATGCATGCACACAACAGACTACTTCCATAAAGCCCTGCATGCAACACGGCGCGCGTTGCACTCTGGGAACTAGTTGGCCAGGGAGGAGAGTGGCATGGTTTCGGTTTCGATCGACACGTCGACCAGAGATTACACACAGAGCGTGGACTATAAACGGCCATTATCTCATGTTTTCTGGTCCCGAGAGCGTCATTTGTGGTCTATAAACTAACCTAAATGGCCAGACCTCGAAGCTTTAGCACAAGCCCGAGACGTATATAGCTTCTCTTAACACATGCTTGTTCTATTTTTGTACTTGAGCCTTTTTGTTAGCGTTTCGAGGTATCTGGACGAGCCAGTGCTGGGAATCTCGACGCTGCGAAGCTCGGGGATCTTGCTTATGTACGAATCAACAGGCTGTAGCAACCAATAAGTATGCATACATCAAGCTCGCACCTTTACATTATATGTTGTTGATCAGGAAGTTTGTTCGTTTCGTGCGTCCATAGAAGAAATACTACTTTTTGCAATTACTGTTTTCTTAATACGCCTGTGTATGCGAACTCGGAGGTGCCACTGAAAAGCTTCTATCTCTTATCTGTACTGACCCGCAGCACTGCACGAAGCGAAGTCCCCACCCACTTGCATTTTACTAATATTCAACATCGCGTATGCACGTAAAGTTATCCTGCAATTGTATAGGCACATTCGCGCATACAGACCGTTTTAAGAAAGCAAAAGTCGAGCACTTGTGTGAAAAATGTTGCACCATTCGCCAGAAGTACGCCGGACGGGTATGAACCCCTATGCGGTGCGCCAAACGAACGAAATTTTTCAAAGTGCATTTGACGGTTGCTAATGGCCATAATATTTGTCATGTGTTAGCTTTCTTCCTGCCTGAGTATGCTGCGATAATTTCGGACACACCGTTCAGGCACAGATCTTGGGCGTCAGTAAAAGCTCGTCCAAAAAGGCTTAGCGAGGAGTAGGGGACGCTTGTTAGGGCCTCCGTTGTAGCTAGCCCATCTCTGCGTTTGCGAAAACTTAATCGTCTATCAGCATAAAATTTGAGTGGGAGATATATGATGACACGAGGAAGACATCATAGTAACTTTGGTGCAGTAGTGAGGTCGAATTTATTGCATTTCCTTAAAAGTTTACGCGTCAACGCTGGGCTCAACTTTGATACTCCTGTGAAGATGCGGCTTGCTTTTCGCCCAATGAAGTAACAAGAAGCGGACATTTGGCAAACAAAATATGTCTAATGCTCCAGGTGACCGAATTTCACTTGTAGTTCAATGGTACTAGACGGGATTATTGAAATTGAACTCAAAGATGATGTGACTAAGCCACGTCCTACTACGTTTGCATACGCACTCAAATATCCGGTGTTTCGGGAACCAAAAAAAGTGCCCCGGCCTTCGTTTTCTATCGCTCGAGAATGAGTATATTGTACATTCGTAAAAAAGTCAGATAATCGAAATTGCAAGCAGTGCGTTCGGTCGCGGCGTGATAGCATGAGATGAATCTGCTCAGTCGAAACCGAAACTGAGTGGCCAACTAGTTCCCAGAATGCACTGCATGGTATTTCGCCGCAATGGGGCGCGTCGGTTTTGGAAGAAGTCCATTGGCCAGCAGTCTCCTTGCAACATCCTGGACACAGCAACAAAACCCAGCCCTTGCACCTGTTACACTGAGTACGAGCGTCTGACAAAAACTAACTCACGGAAAGGAAATGGCGGCAGTTAGGTCTACTGCAAACAAACTAACACACAGATACCTGACAATAATTAAGTCTGCAACTACAATGAAATAAAATGAGACAGACCCAAAAGCTGCAACCGATGACCATGGAGGGGACATGGGTCTCGTGCCTCTGCAAGAAAAAACACAGAAACTGCAAAATTAAAATAGGCAAGTGGATAAACGAAAAGGGTCGGAGGCAAAGCATAGGCTCCCAGAAGCGTAAAGGTGCTGCACGGTGAAGGCTCACATGGAAAGCTCATGAAGTAAAGGGATGGCTTGCAAATGTCTTAAGCAAGTGCAGAAGTGATAAACTTGAGGATACAGAGAGAGTGCATATTTCGAGGTATGCGAATGACACGAGGAAAGTGAACAGAAGAATGACAGGGGAAAAGACAAGCTAACATGGGCAGGAAGTCTCTGCATAGGCTTTCATGCAAGACACCAGGAAGGAAAGTGTAGGCTACAAACATCCACATGAAGCAAAAAGGGATGAGTGAAACATAAGCAGTGCACAGCAAGGACAAGAAAAAAAAAACATGATACAGAAGAGCAAGTTTGCATGACAGCAAAAGCTTCACATAGGCCTACACGCAGAGCAGAAGAAAAAGTGCTCCCCACAAAGAACCGTAGCAAGCGTAAAAAAATTCAGAGGCTTCATGCAGCCATACGCACAGAGCACAATAAAAAGAAAAGCTTCCCACAAACATCTGAAGCAAGCGTAAAAGAAAAAGAATATTCTGGGACTTCACTCAGGCTTACATGCAGAGCATAAGAAAAAGCAAGCTTCCCACAAAGAGCTGAAGAAAGTGTGAAAAAAATTTAGATGCTTCACGCAAACTTACACGCAGAGCACAAGAAAAAGAAAGGATTCCCACAAACATCTGAAGCAAGCATGAAAAAAATCCAGAGGCCTCATGCAGGCTTGCACGTAGAGCATAAGAAAAAGAGCTTCCCACAAACATCTCTTGTAAGCGTAAAAAAATTCAGAGGCCTCAGGCACAGCACAAGAAAATGGGCTTCTCACAGACCCGTAGCAAGCATAAAAAAATTACAGATGCTTACAAGCACAGCACAAGAAACTTACCACAAACATGTGTTGCAAGCATAAAAAAAAATGCAGAGGCTTCACGTAGGCTTACATGGAGATCACAAGAAAAAGGGCCTCGCACAAACAACCGTTGCAAGAGTAAAAAAAATTCAGAAGTGCCTCGGTAAACAAGGAACGCAAAAATTGAAAGCTGCCCTTAACACAAAGAAGAAAGCAAAGTAAAAAAAAATGAGAACGGGACACCAGTTTCATCAACTAAGGCAATCTAAAACACTAATTAGTTCTCCGAGGTCCTGCCATCGACTGCCGAAGTCCCTGCGTTCAGCTGCCCCAGCCGCCAACTCGCGACTTTTTTCCCACAGGAACAGTTGCAGCCGTGCATGGCAGAATCCCCTGATGAGCTTCATTTTGATTTCATGGCAGTTGGGCAGCTGAACACATTGGCTCTCTGCAGCCATCCTCGCCGATAGGCCGTCCAGGATGCCCCGTGCATGCATCAAATCCGCAATGAGGCTGCGAAAGACACTTTCACAAATTGTGAAGAGGGCGCGTGCAGCTTCAGAGGGGCAGGTCAGAGCGTCAGGGACATAACTCTTTAGCCTGAGGAGGCTATTTGCAGGTGCCATGGGGACTCGAATAGCTGCAGCACACGTGTCACATGTAGCATTATTTTTTACAACTCTTCGTACCACATACCCGCGTAATAGTCAAAGCTATCCTCCTCAGGTTGTGACATGGTGAGTTCTACCTCCTCAAGAAAAATGTCGGTGGGCACAGCAGGTTGTACATCCAAGTCTGCGAGGTCAGCCAGGTAAAAGGAGGCATCGTCCAGTTCGTAGGACCCTGCCTTGGACGCCTTCAGGTACTGCGAGTGTGTGATGATTTTCAAGGTCATCTTAAACTCCAAGAAGTTGTGATAGGGTTGCCCTGTCGCACTACCGAAAACAAGTTTTCATGGCAGTCCTGCGTGAATCTGGATGTGAGCACAAATGAAAAAGAATGTCTCTCAATGAGACTTTGCTGCAGGTCCAGAATGGACTTAGTAGAGAGAATTACCCCCGCCTGCACTGGCTTCAACGCCCCATCCCCAATAGTGAGGTGGAGAAAAAGATCCTTAAATTTGACCAGAAAGTCAAGGGTGTTCTTGTAGCAGGCCTCATTTTGCCTGCTGATCGCAAGGACTGGGTGCCTGCTGCTCATAAGATCAAACCATTTGTTGACCTGTTCCAAGAACCAAGCCGTGGTGAGGAAGTTGGTGCTCCAGCCATGATTCTCCACCGGGAAGCGCAGGGCAGTGGCCGTGGAGTGACTGAGGACCTGTAGGGCAGTGCTCACCTACAAACACAGAACTGCTTTAGATCATCAAGTGTATGCAATGTTTGGTAAACTGGACTGAAGGAATCAATGATTTGAAACTTCCCCCTCAGTCAATAAAAGAACAGCATGGGCACTAAACAAAGAAACGGCTGCTAACTTCCATTCCTGTTGTCCATACGAATGGTTTTTGCTGGTTTTTTATGAGTTTTTGCCACTCTCTTAAAGTTGGCAGTTCCACTTCATGAGCAAAGGTGATGAATGCCAGCACTGAAGTAAAGTACACTCCATGGTTACTTTGGTAGCTGGGCGTTGCTAAAAGTGTCACCGACTCCGATTTGTGAACCACTGACTGATTTTGTTGAAAACACTTTAAGGGAAGCTAAAGAGGTTCTCCAAAAAAAATGAGTTAGAGGTAAATTCTTCCGTATTTGTATCCTGCAAATTTGAATATGCACTATTTGCTCAAGAAGTATCACCCAACGCAAAGAAATATTAAAAAAATTCACTCGGCATGATGTCACGTCAAGAACTTTCACCTGGCCACCGAAGCTCAAGCACCATCTCTCGTGCAGTGTTCCGGCACATGTGACCAGCCTTGCCCAATGCAGTGCTTTTTTTATTCTCGTGAAATGGTGCGTCATCTGCTACAGACGCCTAGTTCCCGCTACAATCTTTCACGCCTGACCAACATCCGCTAAATCTTTTATGAAACTTTATAGGTGTACTAAACATACGTCAAAACAAACAGGCGAGCGAAAATCGTGAGCATGAGGTGAATCGCACACAATTTGTCGACCACTCAAATAAGCTTGCAATAGCTGCAGAGATTCCGAGGATCCTTGTTGCGACGCTGCTGTCTCTCAGAAATTTCCTCCTAGCTTCTTACACCTCGGGAGGGCGGGGCTTCAGCGCTATGGTCAAAATGCTTTGATGGCTACTCCGGGCCTCAAATTGACAAATAATTTTAATATTCGTGATAATGGAGGCAATATGAAGATGATGCAAGTGTTTTTTAAAGGTACAAAACCGCTTTAGTTTCCCCTTAACCAGGCATGTGCGAATAACAAATTTTATGTTTCAAGCGAATAAGAAGCTAATAGTGACTTGGGTCGAATAATTTCGAATCGCATATTGAATACTTGCGGTGCCTTTCTGATACTGCCATTCCGTTCAGCTTCCGCCATCTTGACAGTGTTGATGTCAAGATGGCGGAAGGTAGCTTAGCTTAATGGAAGCTAACCTAAGTTAGCTTCCAGTCGTGTGTAACTAGCTTAGCTAGCTACAAACAAGCTAAGCTACATGCTAACTTAGCTTAGCACTCTTACCTTAGTACACATTTTTCAAAACATTATAGTATTTGAGTGATGGATGAGTGTGAACGAGTATGAATAAAAAGTCATTTTAGATATGATATAAAGACTATCATACCTAAAACACCTAATATCAAGGGGCACACAGTAATCCACTGAAATGAGGTTAGACAAGAGTAATTTTGAGTATGTTTTGTTCACGTTCTCAAGGATGTGCGTAAATTCTGCAGTTGTTAATCGAAGCAACAAATGAAGCTTGTCATTTAGTTCTCCTTGTCAACAGCATTTTTCCTGTAGAGATAGCTTTCTAGTGCACAAACTCAGCATGTGAGCAATGATTATACTTTGTAAAGGAAAATCTAGCTGGTTTCATTTAGGTTATTCTCAAGTATCTGCCTACCCACTGCCAAGGCTCAGTTAATTCTGAGCCCTACATAGAGATTGTAAGTAGATGAGAGATTTGTCAGTCCTCTTGCTATACCCAAATATTCGTTTTAAATCTTAGACTAAAGAAATGATGAGCAATGATGCACACTGCTTGACGGAACCTCAATTGTAGAGTGACACAGATTCATGGTAAAAGCCAGTTTTTTTGCTTTTTTTTGGCCTTGAGGTAAGCATTTATATTGACCAGGAACATGAACAATCATTACGCTACATTACAATGTTTTCCTGCATTCGTCGCACACGCGCGTGACCTCTTCTTCTCTGGAGGTGTGCCTTCCACTCAATGCACAATCGCAGTGCCTGCGAAATACGCACGATCACGGTGTTTTCTGTCGCTTCTGCACAGCACACCGGTGCTCGTTAAGAAGCGCACTGAACTGCGCTAACTCGCGACTTTGCCAGCACTTAGAAACTGTGCACATCACCGAACGAACGGCACGCGGCCAACTCATCGCGACTCCCAAAGCAACTGATAAGAGCGCTAGAGCGATCTCGACATCACAGGACACAGGACACACACGATTGGTAGGTGAGATGATGACGTTTTATTCTAGTAGGGCCGCGCCAATCACGGGGTGCAGATTAGACCTACCTTCCACTACATTAATGGGACGCTTAGTACCTGGGAATGGTGACTAGAATGACGTCACGTGAGGACTCTGTATAGCCATAGGCTGGGGATGGCAACATGTGCAGCATGTGCTGAGCTGTAAACAGTGTTTAATTTTGGCCATTCGTGTGCAGAGATTAGTCATGAGCTGCCCAAATGTTTGCCGAGGCACTTATTGTCACGAACCCAAGTCAAGTGTTCATGCAGTGCTCGTATGGAATCCATAAGCCTCATTCGACCATCATCACCACAGGGTGCTCTCCTAGACACCGTCAGCATAATTACCTTCATGGTCGCATCAGCAAGGTTACAAAAATTGGGAGTGAAGGAAACACTCCCCCTCTAAACTTGAATTCACATCTCGACGCGTGCAAGATACTGAGGTCAAACTAGTGCTGTATGCCTGCGATGAGAGAATCATTCCAACACAATATCAATAATCTACCCCTTCATACCACACTGCAACTAAGTGAAAAAGGAACCATGACACCAACTTATTTAAAAATAAATTGTGTAAAATACAAAAACACTACAGTTACTAACAAGGATATTATATCTGCAAATAATCAACAGGGAGCTTTGAAGCATTTGAGTGGCCTGACAACAAACTTGCCTTCAAGCCGCCGCCCCAGAGTTCTAGACGACGGCAATGGGAAGCTCCCCTCCAGTAGCAAGTCGTAGCCCAAGCTGCCACATGCAAATCGCATCTGCAGCGACTTCTTCACCGTCTCATTAGACCACTTGGACCCCCTGTTGCCGGATCTCCATAGAGCTGCCAGTTGGTCCGCAGTGAAGAACTTGTGCAAGTGAGACCGGAATGTCGCTTCCCTTGTCTTTTGTAAGGCAGCCTGCCTCACCAAGCGATGATTCTCGTTCTCCAGCTGCTGGATCTTCCGGCTCATCTGAAGAAAGACATCTTCAGTGAGTTTAGGTAAAACGGATGATGGAGAAAGAGGCTGTAGGGTTCACTCAGAGGTCTTGGCCGCTGGTTGCCACAAACACGGTACAAGAATTGGGTGTTGCCCACCTCATGAGATCAATCCAAGCAGTGCAAGAACCATGACACATACCCAGCTGGTGGAGGCCGCCGACACCAAGGTGCCGAGGGCAGCTGCGCTGGCCTGGCCGCGCTGGTTGTCACTGGTCACCTGCAGCGAAGGGTGCGGTGGTATTGCTACACGGGGGTACGCAGGACCCTGGAAGATGCTTACGAAGCACGCCCCGCTGGTGGTGGGGAGCGGCTGCGTTAGCAGGCCGCCCTGCAGGGCCGCTCCAGAGGTCCTGGCTGCTGGTTGCTGCAAACACGGTATGAGAATCGGGTGATTCCCACCTCACAAGATCACTCCAAGCCGTGCAAGAACCACATACCCAGCTGGTGGAGTGTGCCGACACCAAGGTGCCGCGGGCAGCTGAGCTGGCCTGGCCGCGCTGGTTGTCACTGGTCACCTGCGGCGAAGAGTGTGGTGGTATTGCTACACGGGGGTACGCAGGACCCTGGAAGATGCTCACGAAGCACGCCCCGCTGGTGGTGGGGAGCGGCTGCGTCAGCAGGCCGACCTGCAGGGTCGCTCCGGAGGTCCTGGCCGCTGGTTGCTGCAAACACGGTAGGAGAATCCTCGTTTTGCAGAAATATGGGTTCGAGAATAAATGGATTTGTCGCCCTTTCTCTCTTCATGCTGGCCGAGCGGAGAGGGACGAAGGCTTCTTTGTATTTACCTCGGGGTGAAAGATAATCCTCAAGGGGGACAAAAGTGGTTTTGGGGGAGCTCTATCTAAGTCACTGCGACACAATACGCCAACGGGACGCAGTGGACGTGCCTGCGGCCAGGGAACTCTCGTCTTTTAGCCATGCACTCTCGAACCACTAATTCTGCAAATGGTCCATTGGGTGTTGCCCACCTCACGAGATCACTCCAAGCCATGCAAGAACCATGACAGATACTTAGCTGGTGAGGCTGTCATAACATTACAAGGCAGCTGAGAGTGATGAATGCCTCATGCATTAACTTAATAGAAGCAACAGAATATGAGTTATTGGGTTTTGACTTACATTTCCATGAGGCGGGGTTTTGTGCTGTGTCAGGCTGCAACACTGAATGATGGTGTCTCATGCACTCTTGCATAAGGACCACTCCGATTTAAAAAAAAAAAAAAAAAAGGTCTCTGACATGGAACAGAGATGTCAACAGCCTACCAAGTCCACATTATTATAGGTCACCTGTGCCTCTTTCAAATCATATCAGTAAAAACATCTTAACACAAGATAAATTATTGCTTTTAATTCACTCTCATAATCTAGGTAAATACCAAAAGAACAAAAATCTCACTTATCCTCGTTACACGGACTCACTTGACTTTCAGAATGCAGAAACAAGCTCGGAACAGCTGTGGCTTTTAGCCTCCTCCAGCCGTCAGAGCACCTCGTCTGGAACTGGGAGGGCTCGAAGTGGTCCTGAAGCGAATAACGTTTTGGTAGACGTCAAAACTGTGTATTCAGCCGCTCGCGTCACAGTACAGTTATTCCGCTGACGAGAGGCTCACGCTTTCAAAATACGCGATCTTACAAATCCATCATCGCACGACTGCCACAGGCCTGAACCACTCGTCTTTCTACGGTAAAGCGAAAGCGCACAGGACGCTTCCACGGCAGTAGAGAATAGATCACAAAATACACGGTTTTGTCACAGTGCACTCGCGTCCACCGTGCTCGCGTCACAATATTAACAATGAACAATACCTCACCTCGCAAAGGTACGTTCTGTCGGGAGGTTTCCACCCCGCGCCACGCTTGATTCCTGAAAGCCACAGTTTCCGTCTCCTCGGGGATTTCGGCAGCTTGGACAAGCGAATTCCCCTGGAAGCTCTGTTCCGGCACTTCAGAGCACAACAACGACCCATTTTTCAAACAAGACCGGAACGGCGGAACTCCCGCGGCTACACAAACTTTTGTTTACGTTATTTCAACGCACGTGTCCGCGTGCGCATTCGTTTATTCTACCATTAAAGAAGGCTATGACGAAAAGCTCACATGCACCAAGTTTTCAGTCACCGAGCGTTAACTTTTTTAACTCTAGCGACGCTAAAATGAAATTACCGAACCCTGCTTTACTTTTGAGGCTCACGACCACCGCTAGGGAAGGTTTTGCGGCTTGTGATTGGCCACGAGCGGCCTGTCAATCAACTATTCGACCAATAGATTTTCGCCCCATTGATACCAATGAATGGCCAAACTCTCCCAATATACGGCTCTGGACCCGAGAACATACTGGCGCCATCTATCGGGTAGGTGTGAAGCACTTGACGTTCCCGTCTGTTTACTTTTTTTTTGCCCCGATCATTTTCTTTTTCTCGGTAGATAGCACGCACGTTTGATCTCGCGAATACTGCAAAACCTTCGCTTTAGTGAAATGCAGTTCCAAGGTCACGTCCGCGATGGCGCTTGTGTTCTCTCTAGACCTAAGAGACCCCAAGAGCTCGGCCGTAAGGAACCGCAAGTATGTGGACGTTCCCTTACATCAGGTAATCCATCGGGCCTTGCTAAGGCCACTAAATAAACTGCGCCTCGGAGGCTGTGTTCCAGAATTTACTCAGTCTGACTCTAGGGTAAGAGTTCTATACCTTGGCGTTGGACAACCTACCCGCGTCCAGCGTTCCTCTATCCACGTTGTCACGTGACATGATGCGCCGTGCCCGGCAGTAGCGCTGCTCGTACACAATGTAAAAGATACAGAGTTCGCCGCACACATATATGACGTCAGAATTATCTGTGGGAACGATTTAGGCATGTAAGAATCGTGTTTGCTTTACTCACACACGTATAAGCTTTGTACCCGTCTGTGGATATCCTTTTATATGACCTAGAGCCACTAAATCAACTGCTCCTAGAGTATCGGCACTCTGTTCCCCGACATTGTTGTGGGCGCCTCCATTTCGGTTCTTCTGCAGAGCAGACGCAACTGCCGATCGTCATGATTCAAGAATGCGACTTCTTCAGCATTAGATCTGCTGTTAAGAAGCTCATGTAGTACTGCTTTTCTCTGTCGCGAACTGTTTAAGCATTTGTGGAGGGCGGAAAAACGTTTCCTGTGATTTCGGATAAACCTTCAGATAACTGGCAACCTTGATTTTAGGCCAAAATATGGCCAAGTGTTGTTACTCTGATGCGTAGCTTATTTAGTGGCACTAATATGACCAATGGGGGGACCATCTTATGCCCGTGTCCCACTAGACCGACAGACCGAAACAGAAAACAGCGACAAGCCTCAAACCCATCCAGCTTGCTCGCGATGGTACCTTTGGCAGGCGTTTAGTCATTCGGTGCTCGTGAAGTAAGCACAAGTCATTGCAAGCCTGTCAAAGATACCCTCGCGTGCACGATGCTCGTGTTGGAGCATAGCCTCCTTTATTCTACAATACGTCGAGGCTTGTCGCTGTCTTTTGTTTCTGTCTGTCGCCCTAGTGGGACACGGACATTACAAAGGAAGCAACACGCATCAGACAGCGTCCGCAGACTCTTTTATTTTTTTCGCGGTGTGAGTAAATCCGGAGCGCTCTACTTTCCCGCAAAACACTCGGTAAAGCACAAATTGCTGCAATTTACGGAGGGAACTCGGCGAACAACGAGGCTAATACTAGGGTTAAAAATAGACAAGTAAAAAAAGCGAACTGCTCTGTGGCACCGAGCATGATGAAACGCCCCACCTATGCCACAACGCAGAGTGCAATGCTTTTAATTTTGCTTTTTTTCCTTTCCCTAGTTGTAAACAGATAATTAGCCTCGTTGTTTGCTTAGTTCCCTCCGTATAGATTGCAGCAATTGGATTTCCCAAACGTTTTGCGAGAAAGTAGATGTTCTGAATGTTTTCATATAGCGTATAGATATACTATAATTATCGACAGCATAAGAAACATACCGCTTCTTCCTTGTTGACTTGTTCCTTCCAGTTCTTATCGAATAATGTCGTTATTTTTTGGGCTGCGGTGTAATGTTAAGATGCTGGGAACTGGCCACGCCTCATGTTTCTTAAGCTTTCCGTGACGCCGAAAACGCCATGTCTTCGGTCGAACTTCGGCCACGACTTAAAGTTGTGCTGCTTGAAACAATATATAAGGCGTCTCACATTCAGAGGCCTTGATCTAAAATGGGCCGTAGAAATCGGCGCCTGCATGTAGCAACCGAAACTTTTCGTCAAAGGTGTATTTCACAGGAGGGTTTTATCTTGTAAAAGTTCAAGGCGTAGTACTAAATAGGGTCAACAAACTTGCCAGGGCCAACGGCGGACAACGACGCAAAACGACCAAGTCGAGTAAGGTGAGAGGCGTTTTCGGCGCACGTATTGATAGATGTCGCTAGGTCGGTAGCAGCGTCGGAAGGTGTAGCCGACCAGCGAAAGAAGGCAGACAAAACGCAGAGGAAATCTGTCGGCACCAAAAGCGCCATCATTGTCCGCATTTACTTTTAAACCAAAGGTACATTACAAAAAGATGATGTATTTTAATAGATTACGGTCGTCGCGGGCAGTCTCGATATTTTTAAAAGCAAGTTGGAACAAGGAGGTAGCGCCATCTGTCAATACTTGCACCAAACGCGCCCCGCCACTCGACTCGGTCGTCTGCGTCGCCGTTCGCCGTTGACCCTGGCAGATATTTCGGTCCTATATTGATGAAAAAGGGAGTTACGCCTTGTAACTTTACGAGGTAAAACCCACCTATGAAATACACCTTTCACCAAAACTTTTGATTGGTACATGCAAGCGCCGATTTTTACTACTCATTTTAAATCGAGCCTCGGCATTTCAGACACCCTATGTATGACCATGTTAAAGGGACCATAAGATGAATTTTGTGCTGGGATAAATTGGGATATTACTAATCGCATACAGTACACCAAGGTAAAAGCCAAAAGTCTGCTTTTTAGGTACGAAAATGTGAGAATACATCGGACTATTTCCCTACCTTACTTTGAGAGCTCTCCGCCTTTTCACTGCGATGCATCCGCATTGCCCAAGAACGTGTCAACCGAACCCAGCTCACGCATTGGAGTGCGTCACTTGCATGTATGCGGTCGTTAACAATCATTCTGTCAACGAATATTTGGATTCGAGTTCGTGGCCGATGAGTGCACTGACGTTACTTATCATCA